GGGGCACAGATTCAGAGATCGCGGTGGTACTAGGCTGTGTTCAGGGCCCCCGCCAGACACGAACGGCTTCCCACCGTCCTCCTGGCTCCACAGATGCCCTTTGAGCAGATCTTGCTTTCATATCGCGCTAGGCACGGATCGTCGACCTGTTCTGTGCAGCGAGTGATCAAGGATTTGGATTTGTTGGCCGAGCTGGAGGAGGGGGCTCTCTTTGTGGAAAAGTAGGCGGGCGCTCCTGGGATGCTCCTGGTGGATGAGCATCTGCTGGCCCAGTTTCTGGAAATAGCTGTATCTGATCTTCGGGGTTAATCTCACACGGCCGCAGTACTTCCTCCAGGTTTCCAACGGGCCCCCATGTCCCAGAAACTGAGCACCCACTTGAACGAACTTATCGTTGTCGTGATGTTCCAGCACATGGCTTAGCATGCGGAGGGGCGCGTGAGCATACATTCAGAGCTAGGCGAATGAATGGAGATATCAATGTGGAAAGGTATCCAAAGCAATGTGTGTCCATTGTGTTCGTCTGTATTCAGTAGTCGTGATTGCGCAGTGCCTCGCGCGCGCCAGTTGTTCATTCGAGATCGATGCTTAACTGGCCATGTCATCGCGCCACAGCAAGTGCAAGATGAAGTAGATATCGTGCGTCCTATGTGTGATCAGATGTTTAAGTCTTTAACGCAATATCAGATTCATCAACGGAAGCACGTTCGTGGACTTAGAGATTCACCTATCGGTGGGGCTCGAGATTATGCAGGCGCATGTTGCGCGATTCGCACATTTGCCAGCGCGCCCCCCCCCCCGCGGGCGTGCCGTGCGAGCTCGGGCCCCCCCCGCGGCAGCGCCGGCGACGGGGCGAATTTTTCGGCGGGGCCTTGAGGGGGGCCCGCAAGGATAACCTGAAAGCGACGAAAGTCATGATGACCCAAGTGGCCAAGCTAGGGCTGGCAGCAGGGTGTCATGCGCGCGTGGCACGCGCAGTGTCGGACTTGGAGGTGCGCGTCTGCCCTCGGGCCCATGCCATGATCCAGGCGGGGTTGGATTCGGGGCGCGCGCGCGCGCTCGGCAGGCCGCGGGGGTGGCGAAGGAGGAACGCGAGGAGCAGTCAGGGCTGCCGCGCACGACCGTCTTCCTCGCGAGCATGAGCTAGGCGGATAAACGGGCGGCGCAGCTCAATGCCAACGCGAAACAGAATTCCGATCGCCACTCGGCCCATTACACGTAGATCCGCGACCAGAACGGACTGAGGCCTTGCACCAGCCTTTGCAGGAATATATTCCATATTGCCGCTTGAATAAGGCTACGCACGCGGCTGCGCCAAGCTGGAGGTGAAGGTGCAGCGTCAGATTGTGGCGTGGACGGCTTGGGAGCACGCGGAAGAGGTCCTGACGAATGGCGGGGGGGGGGGGCGATGAAATACGGCATGGCTCTATCTTCGGACAATGCTCGGAGGGTGCAGCAGGTTCTCGAGGAGCTGGGGGAGAGTCGTACTCACGAAGGACGGTATCGATGAGCAGGTCATCGTCAGCCGCAGGATCGAGACAGGATCTTCGACAGCTACTTGCCGCAGCTGGGCTTCCTCTCCAGAGAGGGTTCTGAGACCGCCGCTCATTTTGCCGCTGCTGCTTGTTCGTCCTCTCCTCCTCCTCCTCCTCCTCCTCCTCCTCCTCCTCCTCCTCCTCCTCCTCCTCCCCGTGAGGTAGTGTATCTCGATTGTCGCGCTCGTGTGCGCAGTGCGCAGAGTCGGGACGAGAGAATTCGTCGTCGTGGATGATGGCGGTCTTGAAGGGTGGGGGCCTCCGTGGTCGCGCCCTTCCTCGGGTGCCTCAGCGTGGTCGTCCCCGCCCACTTGCCCGAACAGGTTGGGACACGAGTCGGTGTCCGTGCCCTGCTCTGGCTTCCTTGGCTCCATAGGCCGCTTGGAACTTCGGAGTGTTGGGTTGGTGGGTTCGTTGGCCTTCTATGTTTTCCTGGGGTTAGGCCAGGCTCCAACCGATTTAGAGCACGTCTTCGTCCGATCGGTACACTAGCGCACGCTGTAAAGCACGGGACATCACCAGAGACACAATGGACCATGAAGGGCATTCATTCATTCATTCCTCCGCATCCCTCCCCTTCCTCATCCTCCTCCTCTTCCCTCCCCCTCCTCTTCCGCCTCCTCTTCCTCCCTCCCCCTCCCTCCCACCCCCTCCCCCCTCCTCCTCCTCCTCCTCCTCCTTCGTCCTTCCTCCGGTCCGCGCTGCCGGGCGGAGGTGTGGAGCACCTTGGTCTCTAGGGTCGGCCGAAACGCGCCCTCACGGGCTTGCTGGCTTTTCAGAACCCCGCGTCGTGTCGACGCGCGGCGTCACCGTCGCTGGCTGGCGTTTGAGGTTGGACGCTGCCAATGACCCCGAATCGACCAATGTGGAAGGATCTGGCGATCGAGCGGCCGCCGATCGTTCCAGGCTGAACGATCCACGCGGCGTTGGAAACCAACGTCGTGGTCGTCACGACACGACCCTGCCGTCACCGATTCTGTGTGCTTGCTGCTGATGCCCTTTCCCAAGGCCTTTCGCGTCGTGGACGGATCGCAGAGGCCAGTTTCTGAGACGGGGTTGCTGGGGGAGCCCGTTCTGCCCCAAATGCAACGTACGCTGCGGAACCCATGCGAGCGCAATTGTCGCCCCCGCTCCCAAGCAAGGGGTAAAAAGGAAGGCGGGAGGGGAAGGATCAAGAGGAGGAAGAGGAGGAAGAGGAGGAGGAGGAGGAGGAGGAGGAAAAGGAGGAGGAGGAGGAGGAGTTGGAGGAGGAGGAGGAGGAGGGAGGAGGAGGAGGAGGAGGAGGAGGTGATGATGATGAGGAGGAGGAGGGCGGGGGAGGACGAGGAGGAGGGGGGAGGAGGATGAGGATGAGGATGAGAGGAGGAGGAGGAGGAGGAGGAGGAGGAGGAGGAGGAGGAGGGTAGGAGGAGGAGGAGGAGGAGAGGAGGAGCAGGAGGAGGAGAAGGAGGAGGAGGAGGAGGAGCAGGAGGAGGAGGAGGAGGAGGAGGAGGAGGAGGAGGGTGACGAGGAGGACGAGGAGGACAAGGAGGAGGAGGATGAGGAGGACGAGGAGGAGGAGGAGGAGACGATGAGAAGAGGAGGAGGAGGAGGATGAGGAGGAGGAGGAGGAGGGCGAGGACGAGGAGGAGGAGGAGGAGGAGGAGGAGGAGGAGCTGGAGTTCTGCGCGGCGCGCGAGCCATGCTGTAAACACTGCTGGCCGCACGTAAATTGCCCGCAGCATGCGCACAATGAAGCAGACGGGCCCCCAGCGTGGTTCGGCGGAGCGCGGTCGTGCCCCAGGCGGCTTTTTGAAGGAGGTGGAGGAGGGAGGCGTGGGAGCAAGAGAGGCTGGCCGTGATCGTCCCACTCGCCGCCGTCAAGCAGAAAGACGAGGTCCCCGAGAGTCTGCATTCACTGCCAGCACCCCAAATGGTTGAGGCGTGGATCAGCCTGTGGCGGCACCCATCCGCGGATCGCATGCTTCCCATAATCTGTTCCAGCGGACTGTGGCGCTTTGCAGGATCATGCCCCCTTCACAAGGCTTGGCAAAACCGATCAGAGCAAAACAAAGGGCCCCACGCACCAACATGTGTGCTGGCGGCCTTTCGCCATGCAACGTGGAGGAAGACAGGAGGGTCCAGGTCCCGCGTAGGCACCGAATGCATCGCGAACGCCCCTGCACTCAAACAGGCTCGTTGCTGCCGTCATGCGCTGGATGATCGGCCCGCGAGCGCCAGGCCGCGGCGACCGCCTGGTACCCAGTCGTGCTCCTGCTGTGGGAAGGGCCAAGCCCGGGAAGACGGCGGAGGTACCCGCTCGGAGGCTGCGTAATGGGGGGACGATAAATGGGGGGGCAGCGAGGGCTGCAGAAAGGGGCCCTTTAGGGCCCCCTAAAGGGGTCCTTTTAAGGCCCAGAAGGGGCCCTTTAGGGTCCCAAAAGGGCACCTTCCCCTCCCTCCCCCCAATTATCGTGTCACCCCCCATTGATTCGCGCTCTGCCGGTCTACTCTCCTGACGAGCTGAAAAGCGCCCACAACCCCAGGGCGACGAGATATATGCATTGCACATGCCTGGCCTATCCTAGGCCCAGGAGCTGTGTACATGTGCTTCCGTGGCCAGTCCAGGAAGGCGCACACACACAGCCCCTGGACCAACGAATGGCCAGGCCCTGGCAGTGGATATGTATTGATGTCGTCGCCCTAAACACGATGCCCGGCCTCCATCTCTCGGCGGCGAGCCTGGGGGGGAAGTGAGATGGAGACGGCCTCAGAAGGCTTGGAAGCCCCCTGGTCTTCTGAGAAGTTTTCGAAGCCATCCCCGAAGACACAGACAACTTTTCAGAAGGCCCAAAGGCTTCTGAGAAGCCCCGCCGCCTTTGAGACGTCCTTCTCCTTCTCAGTTCACCCCTGGGCGCGCCACCGAATTTGGTTTTTGGGTCATAGCTCGGGTCTCTGGCAGCCGTTCGGGGCGATCCGGACACCCCCGGAACGCTCTCGGCGAGGCGCAGCGGCGCAGCACCTGGAACGCATCCCGAGGGTGGAACACCGCCAAGAAACTGCGAAAACGCCTGAAAACCTCGAACCTCGAACCTAGAAGTTCCCCCCCCGCTGGCCGCCGAAAATCTCTGGCGTGCACGGCCGCATCACGCTGGGCCGCCCTGCCCGCCTCCGAGTTTGTCCGCTGCGGGGGGAGCGGAAGGACAGCGTCGGTCGCCTCGGAGGAGGCATTCCAGGGCCCCCAGCGTCGTGATCTGTTTCATGACGCGGACCCCAGCAGTGGTCTGGGCCCGTTCCCCAGGACCTGTTCCTCATCCCGGGTGGTCGCTTGACGGTCCCGCGGCCTGGGAAGGGCTCCCGGAAGCCGAACGTGGTGGACCTCCCCCCCATGTTCTCTTCAGGCCCCCGAGGGGGCTTTCGGGGTGGCGGGAGGGCGACGAGACCAGTGCGCCCCTGCCTCGTCCCACGACCCCGCCAGCGCGCCAGGAGGACGCGCTGGCGGCCTCCCTGGAGGAGGTCGAGGCTCGCGGCGGCTCTCGCTGGGGCTCCCCTGCGGGCCTCTCGTGCTGCAGGGGAGGGCGAGTTGAGACAACGGCTGCTGGCCTCTGGAGGGCCCCCCCGTCGCCACCGCCGGACTCCGCCCAGAGAGCTGGTGCATCTGGACCTCAGAGGGCTCCACGAACCGACTGTGCGTTGCTGCTGTCTCGAGGATCGGTGGGCTCCCTGGCATCGCTCGGACGTGTGCATTTTTTTCTCGGCGAGGACCATCGAGGAGCATCCTTGATCATTTGGCGAGAAATCCACGCACGAAACCAGAAAAAAAGCAACAAATTGACGTCCGAGCGATGGCGAGGCTCTGTGCTGCTCAAAGACCCTCAGGAGTCGCGAGGATTATCGTCGAGCAGCACCGCTGGACGGCCCGTTCCCCCGAGGCTCGAGGCTCGAGGACCGGGGCTCGCGCTCGGAAAGGTGCTCTGGCAGTCCCGGGGCGCGCCCCCGTGGCCACGGCCGGATCCGCCTCGGAGTTCGAGGCAGAGCGCAGCCCGGGAGAGGTTCGGGGCTTCGTTGCTGACCCCTGAGCGCCCCTGTCGGTGGAAGGTCGCTGGGGGGGGGGCAGTGTCGTTTCGAGGGCCAGATCCCCGCACGCTCGGCGGGCGCGCTCGATCGGTCAACAGCAATCCTTCCAGCCGCCCCTCGCGAGAAGCTCTGATTTCAGGTTTGCTCTTGCCGACGATTGGGCTGCTCATGCTTGCTCTTGCCCTACAAAAGCATTGCCCTCTCCGCCGTCGCCCCAGAAACACAGATCGCGTTCGCTGCCCCTCAGCGAGCTTCAACCTGTCGATGTCATCGTGATGTCGCGCCCGCCCGAGCCACCGACCCGCACTGAGTTGCCGGCGCGCCAGCGCTGCCTTGGACACGAGCTGGGCAGTTCGTTTCGGGGATCGTCGAGCCGTCTCGGCGCGGCGGTCGCGTGGGCGCAGGCGTTTTTTTGTTGGAGGCCGCCGCAGGCTCAGCCTCGAGGAAGGGAAAGCCGCTCCGGCCCACATGAGTCGGAGGAGGGCTACCCTGACGTCCTTCGCCAGGCCCAGGGACCGTCAGCAAACTGATTCGGGATAAAGAGACAGTCCCAGGGAAGGGGTCTAGACCTCTGGGGGGCCACGCTGTGAGCCAAAAACGCCACGTCGGATGCCTGGGCAGCCGGCGTTCCCTAGACAGCGTTTGCGGAGCAGTTTTGCCCTGTCCGATTCCTTCCCCAGGTGCGTTTGCGGAAGGGCTTCGCGCGTAGGGGTGCTGTGCTCATCATTCCGCCACAACAATATAAACACCGACACCCTCCAATGGATTGTTCCTGGGCCTCAGGAGAGGGTGGCGGTGTAAAATAATACTGAGAGCCAGCGACTCTACATCCCACCGCCCTCCCTGAAGGTACATGCAAAGTTCGTCGGAGTTTGTCTGTGTATATGTAGTCTCGTGGCGTACTTATGTGGTGGTGGCCTTTGTGCCCTCTTGCAGCCACAGCTTGGGGAGCTGTGGTCCCTAAGTGCGGCAGTTTCGCGCAGCGCCGACGCTGCGGCGGCCCCGGCGCGGGCGTTGAGGGCTTCGCGCCGCCAGCAGCTCGGAATCGGCGGATGTCGGACGCGGAGAGATCCATTGAAGGGGCCCTAGGACACACAAATAAATACACACACATAAACATATTCCCCATATTTTCCCATGTTTTCTTGGTTTTTGTCTTCCCCCCCACTTCCCATATTTTCCCATATTTTCTTGGGAATCGACGATTAATTGTGTCTGTGTGTTTCTTCCCCTCCTGATCCAGGCGGTGTCGGAAACCAGTGCCCAAATCGACCGGTCGTGTTCAGGCCGGACGAGAGTGGGCACTGGGATCTGAGGGGGAGGGTGCGCAAAAACCGCGGCCTGCAGCTCGCTTCGACGCAGCGGCCGAGGCGTTCTCCTTTCCTGGGCACGTGGGCGCCTTCTGCGCCGGGAGGCGCCGGGGAAGCCAGCTGCGTGCAGCGGATTCACTGCCTGACTCACCTGTCCACCCTGGGGGGCCCGTCGGCTTCGGCCCCCCTCTCGAGGAATCGTGGATGTGATGGGTTCCCCCAGCTGTGGCTGGAAGCCACTGGCGGCATGAGCTGAGTCATTTTTTCCTCGGTGTCGGGCAGCCAATGTCGCTCAGTATCTGAGGCATCTGCGCGGTGTGAGAAGCCTCTGCGTCGCGTTCACTGATTGGACGACTAATGGTATGGCAACTTTTCTGCCGTCGTGTACGCCGCCTCCCCCAGGGCGGCTGGAAAGCTGTAATTACCCTAACGTGCCATTTCTCTCTAGATACTCTCTTTCTGGATACACTCCTTCACTCCCCCCTCTCTCGCGTTCTTGATGCCCTTGCCCCTCCCTCCTCTTCACTCGCCCTCCTGCTACTGCTCGTCCTCCTCAATCCTCCCCCCTCTCCGACGGAGGCCGAGATGTGGAAACTGGTGGACGCCGGTCGTGAGCGTGTGGTGGTGGTGGTTCAGGACACTCTCTTCGAGGCGAACATGTGGCTCACGCGGTGGGTGGGAGAGGGAGGCAGGAGAAGGGGGAGGCGGAGAAGAGGAGGAGGATTTTTGAGAAGGGGGGAAATGGAGGGGCGTGATGGGGAGGAGGAGGAGGAGGAGCATGAGGAGCAGGATAACGACGGCGACGAATAATCAAAAGACTAACAATAATACTGCGAAAGAGTAATGCAAATCAACATAATAAGTCTCATACTAGTAGCAATAAGGTTAATACTATTACATTTCCAACGAAGAATATTAAAACCAATGATAAGCATGCTACTAAGAAGCAGACGACGAAAACGAGCAATACGAAGACGACTATTCGTAATAGTGAGAGTAATGCTAATGCTAGCGATACAAATTCTACTACGAATCAGAAATACGTACATGACTATTAGTACGAATGTAATGAATACGATGAACAATACTATGATCACTAGCAATAACAATAATATGTTTACGACGGCGAACAACGAATACGATTGATACTACTAAGAATGATGACGCGAATGCTAACGTTGCACTTACACTACTGAACCGAATCATACTACTATCAATAATGCACGCGTCCCCATCTTATTCCAATCAAGCACAGTACTACTAATAGTTTCATAATCATTCTTCTAGCAACACTGAATACCAATATTAATAATGCGAATTAGAGACGGAAGATGAGGAGTTGGAGGAGGAGGAGGAGGAGGTGGAGGGTGGGGATATGATGGAGGCAAAGGAGGAGGAGGGGGAGGAGGAGGAGGATGAGGAGGAGGAGGAGGAGGTGGAGGAGGAGGAGGCGCAGGAGCAGGAGGAGAAGGAGGGGGGAGGGAATGATAAGGTCGATGTGGACGAACGACGGCGTGGACGACAGCGACGGTGGCGACGATGACGGTGTACAGCTGGCGTGAGGTTTAATGACGACCCCAGCTTCGCAGGGGTACGTACCCTCATGTTATCAGGGTCTGGGCTTTTAGCCCTGGAGTGCTCCTCGCCTTGGACATCTCCTCAGAACTTGGCGAAAGGGACTCACGTTCTTGACCCACGTTCGACGGCGCGCCTAGGTGGGGACTGCGAGGGGGCAGGTCTTCGCAGAAGGCGGCGGGGCTGTCAGAAGCCCTCGAGCCTTCTGGGAAGTCGTTCGTGGCCTCGCAGAAGGCTCCGGAAGCTTCCCAGAAGGCCGGAGGCCGTCGGAGTCTTCTGAGAAGGCCCGCCCTCTCTGCCTTCCCCCCTGGGTGCGTCGCCGCCTGGCGAAGGGGGCGCACGCCATTGGTTCTCGGGTCCAAGCTCGGCTCTCCGGCGGCCGTTCGCACCGATCTGGGCATCCCCCGAGCGCTCTCGGCGAGGCGCCGCTGCTGGAAGGCATCCCGAGGCTGGAACACCGCCGGGAACTGAACCCAAACGTCCGAAACACCTCCCCCTGGAATTCCCCCTCCTGGGCCAGGACGCTCTCCCCTCGTTCTTGACCCGCACTCTTGATGCCACTTGAGAGCGTTTCGAACTTCCTGGGCGATAGCGGGCGTTACCAGCGTGGGGGGGTGGTAACGTCGGGTTTCGCGCCGGCGCCGTCAGGGAATGTTTAGTAATATCCAACGGCACTCCGGAGGTCAGCACGAGCCGTGGCGGTACGTACGTGGTGGGGGGGGAAGGCCGCCGTGACCAGTAACGGCCTCTATCGCTTGGGCGTTGCTTCATGGGGGGGCGGTAAAGGGGGGGGGGGGGGGGGCGGAGAGGGCTGCAGAAGAGGGGCCCTCTCGGGACCCCTCTGGGGCCCTTCCGGGCCATTAGGGCCCGAGAAGGGGCCCCCCCCCACTCCCCAACAGACCGCCCCCATCCAGCGACGCCCACATCGCGAAAAACATAAAGTACGATCCTCTTTTTCGGCGGCAGAGCCACCGGGTGAGGCGAGCGCCGCGTCGCTCCGCCGGTCGCCGCGCCTGGCGCGGGAGCTCTCGGCCGCGGCGGCGGCGGCGGCGCCGCCCGCCGCCGCGGGGCCCGTGCTGCACCTGCGGCGCGACGCCGCGAGCTTCGGGGCCGTGCTGGAGTACCTGAGGCCCCCTCGGCGGGAGACTCAGAGCAGGGACGTGTTTTCTATCGGAAGCTGGAACATGTGCATCACCAGCGGCGGGCTTGTGCTTTGAATCCCCAGACTTTTTTTGAGGGTCGAGGACGACGCCGGGGTGGTGTGGTGTATACTTGTTTCCCCGATGTCCTGGGGAAACAACGAAGAATGTATACACCAGGATCCCGTATATACCAGGGTCCGCGTTCCTGTGATAATGTCAGCTCAGGGTCGGAAAAGACGTCGGTGTATAGAGTTCGTTTCCCTGCTTATATCTTATTCGGCGGCGAGCGAGGGAGGGGGAAGTGAGAAGGAGAAGGCCTTCTCAGAGGCCCTCGCGCCCTCTGATAAGTGTTCTAAATCTTCGGGGAAGGCTTAGGAAACTTCTCAGAAGACCGGTGGACTTCCGAGCCTTCTGAGAAGGCCCGCCCTTTGTCGCTTCCTCCCAGGACTCGCCGCCGACTTATGGATGTAACAGAAATCTCGGGGAGGTTTGTCCAAGAGGGGTTGTCCTGAGGGGTTGTCCGGAGCCCCGCCAGGGTAGGTTGTCTTCTCGTTATTTATCAGCACGGGTTGTCCTGGGGGTTGTCCCCAGGGTTGTCCCAGGGGTTGTCTGGGGATTTGTTTTTGGATTGGACTTGTTCTATTGAACAGAGCACCCATGTCGTGCTCGTCGTGCACGCTACGTGACTTTCGATTCGTGCAGACACGGCGACGACCCCGCCGCGGGCATTCAAGGTTGAACGCCGCCATCGGCCCAGAGTCGGCCCATATGGAACGCTCTGGCGATCGGAGAGCCGCCGATCGTGGAAGGGTGAACGAT